CGCTTCTTGGACTGGATATGAAGCAATAGAGAAAAATTATTGCTGTTCACGGTGGAAGGGTTTTATTGTAGGACTTAACACTTGCAGAAGTATCTTGTGATGTGTTTCACAGGAATTAAAGCCCCCTTTGGTTATTTTGGAAAGTTTACTCAAAGAACAAATGAATAAGATTTGAGTTCAAGTTTCTTTGCTGGGAAGCTATAACTTCACATGGACGCAAATCTATTATTTTAATTCTTGCTTTTTGGTTTTTTGGGTTTTTTGTTTGTTTGTTTGTTTGTTTGTTTGTTTGTTTGTTTTGTTTTCGGTGCTGGGTACCAAACTCAGGGCCTTGAACATGCAGGGCAAGCACTTCAACACTGAGCTACAACTAACCACAGCTCCGATTTCTCATCAGTCCTCGCGGTACACCTGACAGCGCTCTGCAGCACTAATCTGAGCTGTGAATCTCACCCTTAACTTGGCATAGGCATTTATAAAACGGGAAAAGGGCCAGGTACCGAGAAGACTATTTATTCCCTTCCTTTCCCACATCTTTATTCATTCATCTGTTATGCTCAAAAAGTAATTAGCGATGTGCATACACTGTACCAACAACTTGATTTAGATTTAACTATGGAGTGAGGTAAATGTAATTACAGTTATCCTGCCAGGGGGTTCTGGAGCGATGATTGGATTTCAGACACTAGCCACATCTCTTCTCAACAGGGGACACGACTGAGGTTCCCACGCTGCTGTTTGGTCTTTCTTTCTGTTCTTTGCTGTCTTGCTCCCACCTTTCTCTTGTCCCCACGGTACTAGTGGGCTAATATTACTAGTATTACTAGTACTAGTAGTACTAGTATTGGGTGTTGACTGGGAGTTTCTTCTTTTAAAAAAAATTATGAAATAATTGTAGCTTTATAAAAAGGGGTGAGGAACTATACAGGAACCTCTCCTGTACCTTTTACACAGCTTTGTAACATGCTAACATCTTATAAGACTATAAAATAACATAAACCCCGGGAAATTGACATTTATGTTGCCAATGAGCTCGTTCAGATTTAAGTGGGACTGGTTTTTCTTTTCTTCTTTAAAAAAAAAGATTTATTTATTTCTTATTTATATGAATACACTGCAGCTGTCTTCAGATACACACTAGAAGAGGGTATCGGGTCCCATTACAGATAGTTGTGAGCCACCATGTGGTTGCTGGGAATTGAACTCAGGGCCTCTGGCAGAGTAGTCAGTGCTCTTAACTGCTGAGCCATCTCTCTAGCCCAGGACTGTTTTTTCAAACCATCACATTTTACACTTGATAATCAAATAAAATCACAGTAAAGATTGAAGTTCACTTCGTGTGTTTATTTGGTCTTGGAGTTTATCTGATCTCAGTGCAATCACTGGGGTGTGTGTGTGTGTGTGTGTGTGTATGTGCAACAGAAGTACTCTCCCCATTCTGTGAGATTGTTTTGAGCAACTGATCGAAAAATAATATATAATATGCTTAAAACCTATAAGGTACTGAATACAATGAAGTAAAGTGCCACCAACTTTCCATTATCTCATTTAAGGACAATGTCTCAAGAATAGGAACTATAGACAATAAGGTGTACTAATTTTCAGCCCCAGAATATAGCATGGTCTGTGATGGACAACTGGTGCTTACTGTGGGACTCAGCAAATTATTATCCTAATCAATAGAATCAGGGTGACAAAGATATCAGGGACCTTTGCGCCTGATACAACTATGCACACAGTACCTGTATTTGAAATACGGAATGGCAGATGGTCTTCTAACATTCGATTAAAGCTTCAGACAGTGGGTATATAACCTTTATGGGTGACTCTGCTTCTATTTAGACAACTTTACAAGTATACAAGGTCTTTATTATGAAAACGGGACTCTGCTTTCCCTGAAACCTTCATGCATTGGTCTTGATTCTGGTATTTGAGACTTGTCACAATTGGAGATCGCCTGGAGATATCATCATTTTCCTAAACTTTCTCTTCTCTGCATCAAATGACTTAAATCCTTTAACAGAGTGCACCTCACAGAAATATTCTGAGCTATGGCCACATTCACGAGCTCAGAATACATCCATGTCTGGACTGACCACCACATACCACACTCAACAGCTGGCACACAGACTATATCTGTCAAAAATATTTGAATTAGTGTTCCTACAGAGACATTAACATGGTTTTGATTTTTTCATTTTTATTTCAGTTTATTTCATATTACTTTTAAAAATCAGTTAATACACCCTAGGGACATTATTCAAGCTTTGATATTTAGCCATGCCTCCCTGAGTCTGTACAGACATAGTCTCTGGCATCTAAGCATGACTTCATGGAGAACCTTATTAAGCGAAGCCTATTGTGACAACTGTTGGGTTTTTAAAAATATCTTGACTCTATCACTAAGTATATTTACTGTCCCTGCTGGATCCACACTGGCTGCAATCCTTAGTAATGGTCCTTGAGAGAACACTTGCACATAAAAGGGTGAAAAGGAGACCATTAGACAGCTATAGATTCATACTGTGACACTTTGAACTCCTATTAATGTTAAATTTTAATTCAGCTATTAGACTTTTTTTTTTGCCAAGGCTTGATATAAGACGTAGCCACACACAAAAGGACTCTGTATTTTCAATGAGGCTATATTAGGTGATTCAATGTCTCATTTGTAAAAACCCCATGGGAAATTTCTTTTCTAGCCAGAAATGATATAAAAAAATTCCTTCCGTGAGAGTTAAGCTGTTATGAGTTCCCTTCTGTTTTGACTTATAAGAACAACAAGAAGAAAAAAATCAATTGCTCAATTGCTATATCTTTTATTTCTATTTATTGATTCTCCCTCCTCTCTCCCTTTATTATCTTGTATTTCAAGTTACCAGTTATGTGTTAATAAAATGATAAATTTTGACAGATATCATGACATTTCCTTTCTAAGTATAACCAAGATTATATATATATATATATATTTAACATGATATAGTTTTTAAATGGCAACTACTAGCTAATGATAGCTTTTAAGTAAATGTGAACTTGAGAGTCTTTGGAAACATAAGCAGGGTGTAAAAATCCTATTTATACAAGGGGTTAGTAAGAATGGGGTCATAGGAGAAATGGATGTTCAATAGAAATTTCAAGAATATTCTCACCGGGCTCAAGTGGAACTTCTAAGTTTCTTGGAACACCTGATGTACAGAGAGGTGGAACTTTCCTGCTTCACAGAAGGGAGGTGATTGCTACTTTCTTACTAATTGATATTTGCTAATTTGCATGTAGCTATGTGTACAGCAGAGTTTTCTTTAGGGTTTAATAAAAAGCAATGTTCCTGGCAGGTTAAAAGTCTCACTCACTTCAATCTTCTTTAGAGACCACAATTACCTATCAAAGGTGCGTATGACCATGTGATTGATTGGGGTGGGGGATCTTGGCAGACAGGTTGCCTCACTAATTTTCACCAATGCCCTTTTTCTGCCAGTCTGTCTGCCTTTTAGAAAGTGGAGCTTCGGATTAGGCACAATTAGTCTGTAACAATATAAGATGCTAAGCAGTAAAACCAGGTCTGTTTGATTTCATTGTTGCAACGTTCCCTGCTGCTTCCCAGGTTCATCACAAGGTCACTGCAGGAATGGATGACTGCCGGTGAAATGCTTAGAGCTCTGCTGCTTGCACATGTGTGGGTTAAGCAGAGGCTGTTTGCTCCCCTGATAGATAGTTCAAAGCCAATTTACCTATTAGATTGATGATGATGACATCATCATCATACATGGCTATGTTTGCTCTGGGCAACAATAATGACTACGCACACATTTGAGTGATTTTTTCCCCCTACTCTTCTTCCTATTTTTAAACCTATAACTCTTTAGATATGCAAAGTGTACTCAGAGAAATCATAAATTAATAACCCAAGGCATAGCTCACCGTGAATCATAATGTTTGACCCTGCTTGGGATCCTCTACCAGAAAGCTGTGTGCTACAGTTTTCATTTGATACAAGCCTTGAAAATAGATAGGTATTGAAAGGTCAATAAAATGCTTATCTCAAAGCATTATCGCCTAGAAAAAGTAGAGATAATGGTAATTTGGGGATTGGAGTGATGATATAAAATATTCATGAACTGCTGGTTTTGATGTTCATTAGAGAAGAGTAGAGTGCGGTGAATAGCTTTTGTGAATATAAAACCACTTCTTTTTAAGTACGAGGAAATGCAAATAAGATAAGAGATATACACAGAAAATGTATATCATCGTTATCAATCAGATATGGCTTTTCAAATATGATATGTTAGATATCATATCTTAAACACGAATCAAGGTTGCTACAAGGCACTCAAATTCTAGCTTACATATTAAATCTTGTTCTTATAATAAATGTTTTTAGATCAAAGGGTAAGTATATTTTGATAAATTCCTGTTTGATAAATTTCTGAAATGTGTGATTTTAGATCAGTTATGTTTGAGACACGTAAGAGCTGAGGGAAATATTTAATTTGCTTTATAAGAAGCTATTTCTTGGGGTGGTATCTGTCTTGGTGGTGCAGGACTTGCCTAGCGTGCACATGGCTCTGGGTTCAATGCTTAGCACTGAAACAAATGAACAGACGAACTAACCAGTTAAATAGCTAACTAATTAAAACAGAACAAAACCTCAAACTCAACCAGTTATAGGAATTTGGGATGGAAGTGGCATCAAAATCATATTCTTCTTAACATCCACTTAATAGCAGTATTCTGCGAAAGAAATTCTATGTGATAATTTCTTGGCATGATCTCCTGATTTCCTAGCTGCTGATATTTATCATACTTGTGGAAGATGAAATGAGATATAAAAATATGAAATTACTACCTTTATAGGTTTATAGCCATCCAAGCCCTGGATCCCATTTGGAGATGGATATAAAATTGCTGTTTGTACTGTGATCTCAAAGATTGGCGTCAGTAATGGGGTGGGGATGGGGGAGTGGAGAATGTGAGAAAAATATCTGGGTATTTTATCAACGTACCACTCCGTTCACTGATAGCAGCTGGTCTCCTCTTTTGAGGCCTCCGTGTCTTTCCGCCACCCCTCCAGGGATGATTCGGGAGATGTAAATTGGGGAATTCTGTTCCTTCCCTCCCATCACGTTAAAACCCAGGCCTTCTTCAGTCTTTGGCAATTCGACTACCCGAGGGTGGGAGTGGCCTTCGCTGGCTGCAAAAGCTGCGACTGTTGCCTGAAAGAAAAGAGGTCCTTTTGGTAATAAAATATGGGACTTAAGGCTAAGTACATGATCTTCAGGAAACAATGTCTTAGACATCTCTCTAGCATTCTCCTGTAGAAGGAAGAACACAGAATATCTACTTTTCGATGCCGTATATGACTATCTTCTTCAGTACAGCCTCACCTAGTTACTGCAACCTTTGTAAGGCTTATTTCCTATGAAAAATAAAATCAAAAACAAAATCAATGTAAATCCTTTAAGAGTTCCATCAGCTACATGTCAATCCTGATCAGTGACTCCAAATATTTGTACACATATTACTTAGTCTAGTCATTGACTGCGTGTTCATCATGAAGCAGGGGCACACTTCCATGCTTTTGCTGTGGTATACAGTCTAAGTTGTTCCATGAGCATACATATACGTGAATACTTATTCAACAGGCTGATGAGCAAGTTTATATGTATACGTTCATGAAAACATCTCGCTATTTCTGAACCACTGATTTAGTAAACATAAAGATTTTTATTTTTTTAAATCCAGGATGCCTAGATGAAAATAAGAATTAAAATGAGGTGCTAGATTAAAAGATGCTATTGTTATCTTCTCATACCCATATTCTATATTACTATGAATATGGTATCTTATGGCGTCATTGGTTACATTTCTCTTAATTCTACACTAACATGTCAGCTAGTACAATGATATGAACAAAATGAATGGCTTGGAGAATTACATCTAGACATACAAAATTTTATTTAATATTGTCATAGTTTCATTTTGAAATTGACACATTAGTTTCTTTAAATTCAAGCAATCAACTTACCATCAGTTCCCACCCAAAAGGAATAAAATAGTAGTTCCAATCAAGCATAGAGTCTCTGCCTGCTTCTTGTATTCCACTTCCATTAGCATGCCTTAACCACAGTTGATTAGATGTCTAGTACAAAGTGATTTACTCTCAACACTGTGAAAATATTGATTTCCAACTACTGTACGTTCTTTATCCACACACCGCATTATCACATCAGTTTAGCATTATGCTACTGCCTGTGTTTAATGAGAGATAGTGAATGACATGGAAATAATGGCTTGGTTTTAGCTACATGCATTTGCTCATGCAAACTCTGTTGTCATGCAGGGGTTTTAATGGCTGACATGGATGCAATGCAGACAGCCCAGAAACAACCAGAAAAAATATTGTGCTATTGCAACATTACGCTGCTATCCTGCTGTTCTACATGAATAAGAAATGAGAATGGTAAAACACTACATAATTCACTTTCCCCTTAATTAAACCATGTAGGGATCATTTTTCTCTGTGTGCTCCACTTCAGAACAAGCAAAGCATGATGTAATGGTACTTGTACCCTCTATTTGCTGGGGTTAGAAAGGAACTAAGAAAAAGAGGAAAAGGAAGAGGAAAGAAAAAGGAAGGAAGGGAAAGAGGAAGTAAGAGGAAGCAAGAGGAAAAGGAAGGAAGAGGAGGAGGAGAAAGAGGAGCAAGAGGAGGAGGAGGAGGAGGAGGAAGATAAAGAAGAAGAGGAAGGGGAAGGGAAGGGGAAGGAGAAGGAGAAGAAGGAAGAAGAAGAAGAAGAAGAAGAAGAAGAAGAAGAAGAAGAAGAAGAAGAAGAAGAAGAAGAAGAAG